TCCTCCCTTTTCGTTTCCTAGTCTTTCCCTCCACTCGACCCACCACATTGAGTGATGGTGAAAACCTCTGTATCAATGCTTTTTCTACCGTCCCAGTGTCTTGCACATAAGTCACCAGCGGAAGAATTATGTAGGTATGCCAACCGAAAGATTTCAGCCATGAGTTCAATTTCGGTGCATTCCCGCCACATCTAGTCTTACAACATCTAATATGTTCAGCCCACCTCGTTATGATCTTCCTAATGGTGCAACCAATATAAAATTTCCTGCACACGGGGCTGATGATTGCATACACACCAGAACGGTTCACATCAATACCTTCAAGATCAACATACCTCAATAATTTTATAACCCACGGAATGAACCCACGTACTGCCAAAACCAAGAATAGCAATGCGATCTCATTTTCTTCGATCCTAACTAGCATTGGTTGGCAATGGTTGCACACCCGTTGCTTCCCGGTACTTCCTCCTATTGATCAGATCACAAAGGCCACTGAACGCCTCTAGTGTCAACATGACAGCGCACAGAGACGTCATAAAAAAGGCAGATCACCGTACAAGAAGCTGAAAGATCATAGCAAAAACGGAAAGAAAACCAAAGCCAATTGAGGAAAAAAAAAAAGGGTCCACAATATTGATTAGATCCGGAGCATCGATACCGGGCACAAAACGGACCTATCACACGATCATGGAGAACCGAAAAACGGTAAAATACACGCAAAAGTTATAAAAACGCGAAAAAAACGAACGTGCAGATTACCGTCCGTTAATATCCGCAGCAGGCCTGCTGCTAGGCGTCAGCGGATCCTTTTAAAAAAAACCTTCATAGGCAAGTCTGGTCCGGCATCGAGCTATGTCGTCAATAGCTTGGTCTTTCACAACGTAATCTATACCTCTCTATCGCAGATCTTCTTCACATCCGGAGCCTTCAAATCACTGAGGGTCCTTGCCTGTGTAAGAGCGTAGTCCACCAATCCCTCGTACGAGCCCGAAGCAGAGCAAACTTTTGTAGGTGTCTCGAACATGTTCGCACCTTCCCCACCAGTAGTTGGACGTGTCTTGCTGTTCCTTGGAGTGCGTGTGATCCGGCTAGTAGTTGCGCGCAGAACGGCTGCACTCTTCCTGCCTTTCTTCCAACCTTCGAGCGCCTCTTATCAACTTATCAGCCTCCTCCTTCACCTCCTCACTGTCATTATCGGACTCCGCGATGTAACTTCGTATCTTGCGCAGCATCCGCGTCTTAGTTCGCGGTGATCGCTTCCTACTCTCGGGTGCTGGCTGTTGTGGCGAAGCTATCATCAGTGGTTCCTTTCGCTGTGACAGTATACGTACGATCGTAGCTTCAATCTGGGCTTCCTTGGCCTCCGCCTCCCGTAGCTTATCGCCTTCCCGTCTCTCCTGCTCCTGTTTCTTTTTCTCCTCCTCCGCTTCTCGCAACTTCCTCTCCTCCTCGTCCTTCTCTCGTTTTGCGATCTTACGAAGGAGTCCCTTCATATCAGGATCTTCTTCCGCCCGTTGTCTACCGGCCGCTTGCCAGCAGTTACGGGAATAGTGTCCCGTTTTTCCGCATATGAAACAGGTTACGGTCCCAAAGGAAGTCGCCGATGCTCCTCCAGAAAAACCCATACCATGGTCGCCCGTACCATTACTCTGGCCGCCCATACCCATATGCTGCCCACCAATGCCCATATTTTGTCCCCCGATGCCCATACCTTGCCCGCCAACGCCCATCACACCGCCCATATTCATCGCACCCATGTTCGCGGTGTTCACACCCATACCACCGTTTCCC